GTCAGCGGAAGCAAACCATGTTGCCTTCAGTATTTAGTGTCGGAGAACCGCAGCCTTCTTTACAACGCCCACAATAGGGCTAAAGCGCCACCTGCTGTAAAACGAATGAAATGATTAGTTCAAGATTCGTTCACGACTCGTTTATTTTACTGTTCGAGGTTCAAAGATTCGAATCAATAAAAAGATTCGGTCTTCCAATCACTACACGCCGCCTTAATTGTGCGAAGACAGACTCTTTTTATAATTTAATTTTATTATAATATATATATAATATAATATTATTATAATGTTATTGGCTGCTGCACAGTAAGGAAAGCAGGTTTCCCTGTACAATGAAAATTCTACTTTGCTGTCCACACTGAATGCCAAAGAGTGAGATAAGAAAGAAAAAAAGAAAGAAAATAAATCAGTATATGAAAAAAAAAAAAAAATCTTTTGCTGTGAACGAATCATTAGCTGTGTGGGTACGCTACGGAATCAAGTGTCTACGTACGGGCCAACCCTCTTTCCTCCCTTCTTCCCTTCCTCCCTTCCTCCCTTGCTCCTCCTCCTCCTCCTCCTCCCCACATGTCTCCATTAGCCTCTACTGTATCGTCTGTCTCGAAGGTAAGAACTCATCATTAAAAACACATTTTATTTTATATCACAGGAATCCTTTTTTGTGTGTCTGTCTTAATAGCAATTAAAAACATGGTTTTTCCATTGATATTAGCACTAATGAGGGAGTTTTTTAGAGGGAAAAAATAATTTGAGATACGAGCTCGGTCCTGGAATGGATTATGCTGTAATCTTGAGGTTCCACTGTACTTAATAAATAAATCCATCCATTCAGATGACTGATTTGTTCTGTTACCTTAACAGTTTCCATTGGACAAACAACCAGAACGGCCTCCAACACCCCGGCGCCCAGTCCACACAGCATACCTCTGGTGCCGTCCAGACGACCAGACTCATCCTTTGCATGATTACTGAGGAATTCAAACACTCCGAACCTGAGGAGGCAGAGAACAGAGTCAGCATCTGAACTATGCTGGGGGAAAAAAGGATCTCCTTAGCAACTGAATTGTTAAATGAATTGTCATGAATTATTAATTATCACTACACTTTAAGTTGATTGGAAATAATTCAAACGGATTCAGGTCTTTCAGGTCTGATTCCCACAAGTTGGAGATGTGCCTGTGGCCTTTCTTTTATTGCACTTTGATAACAAAATTGCATCAATAAAAGAGCAGCTTTTAAGGAGGCACCGACTCCTGCAGCCGTGGAGGATGGGCCACAGAGAGGAGAGCGGGGAAAGGTGGTGTCGTCACAAAATGTTGTCAGGCTGTTACAAGCAGGGTTATTTATAGATGAAATTGAATTGTGGTGAAGGCAACATATCCATAACCCCCACTTCCACCCCACCCTCCATCCCCGCTACGTTCGGCAGACGGGCACTTGTTCCTGATGGATGCTCATGTCCTGCCCAGACTGTTTACCTGCCATCGTCACAGGTACGTCTGAGATTCTATCAGATGACATCCCTTCTCTCCTCCATCTGCTTTTCTATAACAACATTTTTTTTCTCCCTTCGTTAACCGTCCACATCTGCTCCTCAATCTTCTTCCACCACGTTTGTTTTGACTCTCAGTACTTGCTGAGGTTTACTTGTTTACAGCACAAAGAGTTTTCACAAGTGCTTTCGCTTGTCCCGAAAATAAATATTCAACTCATTAGAAAGAACGTACTGTCAGCCTTGCTCCTCTAAAAAAAAAAAAAGAAAAAAGAAAAAACAATCCCTAATTTTTCTTCGGTTGTATTTACTGAGCTCTTTGAGTTAGAATGTGACACATGGTGTTTTGGACAACTTTCCCTGGTGAGTCATGGACAGAGGAGCTGGGTCCAATCTTCATTAGCGGCTCTTTCTACAAGGGGATTTCTGCTGATTAGAAAAGTGGGCTGAATAAGGGAAAAGAAAGTCATAACGGGTGATGGGTGTAGATGAGAGCGAAGGGTAAAGGGTAACAAAAGGTCGACTGTGTCTCCTCCACGTCCCTGACATCCCTACGGCACATTTATGGCACTGGATGGAGCACAGGCAATCAGTTAATGGGATGGGAGTGGAAGAGGAGTGAAGAGGGAGAGAGGGAGTGTGACGGGGGGGAGGGAGGAGGAGCAAGGAACAGATCAAACCCAGACGAAGATGTGGTCAGTGGAACTGAGCCAAGGTTTTCTATAAATCACATGGCTACTCAGTGAGTCATGGCATGAGTATTATGGGGTTTATGGAGGATGATAAAAAGGAAGAAAAATAGTTTTTTTCTTACAGCTGTAACAATCAGAACTAAACTACACTTCCCAGGAAACACGCAAACAAATAAATACACTGTAGCCCAAAGAAAGATAGAATAGGAGCCGTAAACAGATAAGAAGATGGTAGTTATACACAACACAAGTGTTGTTCAACTTGTGTGTGTGTGTGTGTGTGTGTGTGTAGACCTGTCTGGAAATAAATGTCACGGATGTGGGAGAAATAATGTAATTATACTAAGGGCTAGAATGGCATTTACTCCGTGCATTATGGGTAATGGACTGAAAAATTGGAGTGTGTGAGTAAATGGGTCCGGTACCACATGGTGTAAAGACAGGAAAAGATGTAAAAAGGTGAAATAGATTAGAACTAATAAACACAAGGCTCAGAAATCATAATCATGTATAAATACAATGGTAGATCGTTAATAACAAATGAGCCCTGACTCTACCGCAGCTGACAGTGTATACAGTACTTGCCTGACAGCAGACTTGGGTATGGATCCATACAGCAGCGAGCTGAGTCCTCGGTACAGACCTCTCACACCATGACTCTGCACAGTCTGCTTCACACAGTCACCTACAGCAGAGGAACACCACAACAGGACACAACAATATGTCACATGGGAATTCTGGAGGTGGACGTTTGGCACTGAATTTAAACTATAAGGTGCATTAATTTCAACATATGATCATTAAAGTCTCTCAGTGTTGTTTGTTTTGACCTCAGTCTTTCGAGGTCAGGGTGAATGATAGTTTTAAAGTCAGTCAGTGGTCTGTGACAAATGCGGTAGAAAAACCCACAACCGGGCAAGAAACGGCTGTCTTAGGCGCTCATTACAGGGGTCTCCAAACATCAGGGCTTCGACCAACATTGCACAGAGAGTGTGTGTGTATTTGTCTGATGTGAGAAACATAAAAGTACCAGAGACAGCCTGTCAGAATCTAGAATGTACCTGGGGATGATGGGTAATGAGATAACGAGCTCCTGAGAGACGAGACGAGGAACAGACAAGCTGAGAGACAGACAGACACTCACCTATCCCTCTGTATTTGGGTGGATTGGCTTTCTCGTCCAGCTGTAACTGTGTTTTGACATACTCTGTGGGGAACGTGATGCAAATCTCTATTCCACCTGCAATTCCACCTGAGAAAAAACATCAGAGGGTTAATGAGCATGAATGACAGAAGATATAGAATATAAAAAAATACACCAAATCTAGCACATATTGCCTGCAGGCACCAGGGGGCGCTATACGCTGTATGAATAACCAGGAGACTTCACTGTGTCATGGATCATTACAGTGACTCCACAAATGGCTTTCCTCCCATAAACATTGAATTTGCTGCTGCCACTGCTGCAGGAGGAGTAAGAGTAACGATCTGGGTGAAGATGAATCAACTCTGCTGCTACAGGTAGTGACTCTGCGCTTTGAGGAATGAGCACAGGAATAAGTCACAACAAAAGGCAGTGAGAGGAAATGTTCCCATGTCTAAGCACTGGACTGAAAGAATTAAAACCTCTTCCTGTCTGCATGAAACCTTGCTTCATAAAGAAGAAAAAAAATACCATAAGCCCTGAAGTGTCCAGATTATTTGTCTCGTTGTTATGATATTTTGATGACCGGGCACCTTCCAGATACTGTATAATAAAGGATTAATGCAACAGTCAAAAACACAGTCACGAACACGGAGGAGGAAGAGGAGGTAGAGGAGAAGAAGGACGAGGAGGAGGAGGGATGGAGAGGAAAGTGGCATTCATTTAATTATGCTCTAAGGCTGCGAGGAGGAGGGGCCACACAACCAAGGCTGCAGCAACACTACATATACAACGTTTTAGACCTAATACATGTACTAGCCATTTACTCTCACCCAAAACATACCGTATGCCTAACCTTAAACCTTACTCTGACTGTAATCTGATCATAATCTTACACTTCAAAACACCGACCAGGTACAGATATTTACTCTCTGCTGTCAGTCTTGGTACCAAAGCTGGTCAGCAATGTGTAACAGAAATCAAATGACTCATTTTAGATTCTCTGATCCAGGATCAGCAGGTCAGTGTTTTTTGAAGAAAGAAAGAAAACAACAAATGAATCTCCTTCATGTGTGTTTACAGACAGAGTTCAGTCCATCTCTGACGGTGGGACAACTACAGGTTTGAACAGAAGATCAATCCTCATCAGATCAGACGCACCGCGCCGATGGAGCAGAGACAGGACATTTGTCTTCTCTATTCCATTTACAGGCTACGGCCTGAACCCTGTTACTGACTCAAACACAACACACTGAACG